TTTTTTGAGTTGAGCCGTTCAAAAAATAAAAGGGGGGGGATATTAAAGAAATGCACTGTATATCTACAAGAACCCAAATGGCATTTCAATACCCATTTATTGTTTTCCCCTTAATCCGTACTACGTAAAATTGTAAACAAAAGTTTCTATTTTTTTTTCCTAATACTTTATCTGTTACAAACCGACCACAACTTTACGCAGATATGATTTTTCCCACCGGCCATGACTCAGTCCCGTAGCTGTATGAGGTTTGTTCAAAAAAATATTTGTTGTGCGTTTTTTCCAATCTTCGAAGCAGTTCTGATATACACTTTTTGGTATGTTCTTGATCTCTCTCAGCACAGGGGGGCAAATCTGATAAATACGGTGGCTGAAGTATGATTTCGGTGTTTTTTATTGGCCAAAAATATATGAACAAGCAATGACGAGTAAGCAGGTGCATTATCGTGATGCAAAAGCCATGAATTATTTTTCCACAATACCGTACGTTTCCTTCGTATTGCTTCCTGCAAGAACTCTTGTTGCACTACGCCACGGGAAACGAAGAAAACGGTGAGCAAAACCTTGACATTCGATCAAACTTGCGTGCTTTTTTTAGTCTTGGCTCTCCTCAGCTCTTCCTTTGGAGCGATTGGACTTTGTTTTCGATGTCAATCATTTACCCATGATTCGTTACCACTTATGACCCTTTTAAGCAAAGCTGGATAGCCGTTGAGCTCACTCAACAAATTCTGAACGATGCTCATGCGATGTTGTTTTGGTCAAAATTCATCAATTTTTGGAATGAACTTCGCTGCCACATGCTTCATGCCGAAAATTTACGAAAAAATTGCATCCTCAGCAACTTATCTAATAGATTCTCCCGTCACAATTTATTTCACTTTTTCAACAATTCCGTCGGTTGTTGATGTGCTGGGGCGTCCAGGGCGAACGTCGTCATTCACATCTTTTCGAGTTTTTGCGAAAAGCTTGTACCATTTGAAAATATTTTTCTGACTCAGAGTACAGTCACAGTATGCCACTGTCAACATTTCAAGTGTTTTTGAGCACTCGATTCCATTTCTTACACAATATTCGATGCAAATTCTTTGATCCATTTTTTAGCTAGTAGAACATTGCAGAAGACGCAAAATACTTCTAACTTTTATGACTCTCATAAAAAAACTAAACATGCTAAACAGCTGAAACTATTTATTTATTATTCGAACATATATTCAAATAATATACAAATATCTTCCAGAGCATATGACACGCCCAACACCTTACCTCTCATATGAACCTGACTCCCACCCCGAAGTATGCGTTTATGCAGTTGTTTCCGGGCTTTGCTTGCTGGTAGCACAGTGGTACGTCCTATTAGATTAACTGCAGATAGAGCTGATGACTAGTTGGAATTAATTTGTTTGTTCGGGATACTGCATCTGAAGTGATGCTCCCGGTACTAACTAGGAGCTAGTACTCATCCAAACCGATCTATCGGTGGTCGTTCCGACCAAATGAAATTAATTTCTGCTTTTCATATATAGGAAGTTACTTGCAACGAAGTCTTCAAAATGGAAAATGCACAGATGCCTGATGGCTTTACTTCAGCTTTCTGCGTGGCATTAGCTGGGTTAGTTGTTTTTCCGTCGCGGGTATCTGCCACTCGTACCTACAACGTCGTAGGTTCACATGAGAGGCAAGGGTAAGGTGTTTTCACCTAATCTTGAGCATATCATATGTTATCGAGTGTGTGATTAAATTCAAAAAGGAGATTTGTGTGATGGTGTGGAGAGGTGTCGTGTTGGCATACAGCGGACACATATTTCCGGCTATTGACCACAAATATGGGCAATACTTGTCGAAAACGGCAAAACAGCACAAACGAACGGAAGCCTACCTTGTTGTTACGACAAATATCCATTTTTTGCCAATATCTCGTTTTCTATGGGGTTTTCATCGCTATTTGTATTCTTCATCAATATTGTAGGGGATTAAATTTTCTGCAACTTTAAGGTCAAACGGTAGTCCCGGTCAAAAACACGCCATATAAAGTTTATTAATACATACTTATAATTAATTTTCATTTCTTATTAGCTTATTTATACGAGTTTATAGCTGAGCATCTCAATGACTGAACCAAAATGAATCTGTCCTGATGGTGCTTCTCAGTTATACACCATTTATCCACTAAATCAATGCCTTGGAGACATTGGAGTTATTCTCACTTCGAGAGGAGTAGATTTCAACGAAAAACTTTGTAGGCCAATCCTCTCTATCTTACACAAATATCACTTGATTTAACTGTGATAATATAGTAGAATTCGGGCTGTCTAATTGATTTCGAAGATTCAGAATCTTGTGGAGCATGAAACGTTAAAAGAATTCTAAAATGGGGTTTTTTCAATAAACAAGCTAACGTTCCTATGCACACGAAAACGTTCAGAAGTTGAAATTCGCGCAAGGTAAGGAATGTGCGATTTCAAGCATGTGTTCTAATGGTCTTCAGTTGTGGCAGATTCGCCACTTTACTGTTTGTTCAAATATTATTGAGTACCTAACACAGCCATTGATCATACACATGAAGGAAATAATAATGAATCAACTATAAAAATAGTGACTTTAATTCACTCCAAAAAGCTCAATGTACAAAAAGGGAAAACTTATCACTGATTATTAAGAGCACTGCAGAACTCATTGGCCTTTATCAGTGCTCCTTTTTGAATGTCGACGATTTCGTTCAATAAATTTCGCCACTGCCTGGCATAAGCGATCCTATCGAATCCATTTGCATCCGATGAATTATACAAGTCACATGCCATGTCGTGGAAATTAACACAGCTTTGGATGACATGCCTTTGACTTTCTCGAAGCTCCCACGCCAAAGAGCTGAGCTGCAGCCTTTTCTCTTCAGCACGCAAACTTTCATCGTCAATATCAATGTATTCTTCTGATATATCTTCTTCTGGAATGGTTAAAGGAGAGTCGTCTTCTATATCTAAGCTGTCGTTGGCAATAAGTTCTTTCACCTTAAAAAAAGGGAGTAAAGTTATTCAATTGTATATTGCTCCAGTCTGAGAAAATGAGGCAGTACAACTTAAAACATGAAAAACACGCACCAGTTTCAAGGGTGAACTGTACTGACTTGTACAATGATGGGTTTCGAGTGGTATCACAACAGAGCTTGAGGACCCAAACAAGCAGAACATGACAAAAGATCGCTACACACTCAAAACAAAACTAAAATTTGCAAAAAGCTAAAGGAGAGAATTTTTAAAAACATTTTTCAAAATTATTAATTATTGCTGTTTTTTCTAAGCTTTCATTCGAAATAATAAAGGGCGGAAATGAGAACTTAGGAAGAGTGAAGAGATCATACTATCTCTGTCTTCTCTACAATGCTTGGTTAAAGAGCAAAGTGAATGGCTCTGTTTGCCTGTTGTGCCATTTCACAATTACATCCTTAGATCACCAAAGAAGTGAAACATACTCTCATCACAGATCAGTTATACAGGACTTTTCTCATGGTTACTTTGATGAATTTTGCTATTCAAGATTTTCACAACTGAGTTCTTGTTTTTACACCTTTGATGTAAAAGTTTGCCTCATAATCAGGGTTTGAAGGCCGGGGATTTTTGGATTTTTTTGGGATGTTGCTCCAAACTGCAATATCCCAAAAAGATTGCAGCCTCATAAAGCTTGAACTCTGATGAGAGTTTCACAATTCTTTCACCAGACAATTGAAATATCACGGTGATTCTGAAAACGGAAGAATATAACAGCAAAACTGAGGAACTATTATGCCCTGCAAACTACCACAAACTTAAACGGGACGCAACCTCAAGGTTCAGGAACGTTAACAAAATCAATAAATCTTCCTCACTGTCGGAAACCTTAAAGAGAACCATTCTGAGAACTGAAGCTCTATGGTCGTCCGAGAGTACGAAGTCAGTTTCGATGTTGTGTTCTTGTTTACCAATATCCCACTGGAAGACTTTTTGATGGGGCTAGCCTACTTGTTTCCAAGTGATATAGTCAGACTCTTCACTCTTCCAAGTGATATAGTCTCCCATTTCACGGGTAGTTACTATCAACGGAGAGGAAACTTATATGAACAACTAGATAGCTTAGCGATAGGAAGTCCACTTAGCTCAGTGATAGCCAATTACTTCATGGAACGTTTTGAAGAGAAAGCAATCGATACCTTTCAATCGAAACTGACCTTGTGGCTACGTTACGTGGATGACACCTTTGTCATCTGGAAACATGGAAGCAGGGGCGCTCTGAATCTTTTCCTAGGGCACTTGAATACTCAACAGATGTACTAATCGAACGATGTGGTGCAAGACTAACTCACAAAGTGTACCGAAAATCCATGCACACGGATAGGTACCTGCACCCACTATCGAACCACCATCGTAGTAAATAAACGGAGTGATCTTCACTTTAACTGAATGGACTCGAAGAATATGCTAACAAGATCATCAAGAAAAAGAACCGGTACAACTTCAAGTGACCTTGAGAACGAATAGACACAATATACCCGAGATCAACAAAACCATGAACCTGAAGAGTTCTACGGTCCAAAAGGGGAAGATGGCTCAGATGGTTGCACGCGCGTATGTACCATATATCCCTAGGGTCAAAGACAGAATTATGAAACTCTTGTGGAAACACAACATTAAAACGGTGTTGAAACCCATCAAAAGGAGATACAACGAAGCCTCAGGTCAGCTAAAGACAAAAGAGACACACTATCAGCCGCAGGGGTTTATGGGAAGGTATATACATCGGAACCATCAAAAGATCCATGAGAACCAGGCTGAAGCAGCATGAAACTACAGACTAGGCCAAATGGACAAGTCGGCTGTGGAAGAACACGCACTCAGTGGAGGAAAACTTCAGGATTCTGTTGGAAAACACGGAACTCATTGCCCCTACCCAGGGATACCATAGCCGACTGGTACGGGAATCCCATAGAATCCCATTCTAAGAACTTAAAAAATAGCAAACAGCATGACGGCAGGTAGAAAATGGTCGACGAATATTATTGACAATTCACCTAATCCAGGTACATGTATTATCACACCAAACTGAGTCAACATAAATACTCGTTACGCAGCCGTAATATCCAGTCAGGTAAGCGAAATCTTGGTAAGCGAAATGCGCCTCGCGAGACTGGTATATTTCACGTATTATACTTTTGATATGGAATTATTTAGAAAAATCGCCTTAAGCTTTTCAGAGGCATATATTCAAACATTTCAAAGAATCTGAAACATAAGGCGTACACTCAAGCCTTCTCACCATTCGAACTCATGGAGCAGAAATAATGATACTAACGAAGACATGTGCTAAGAAACTTTAACCAACTTGAAGTGAACCGAAAAAATTAATATTGGGTCTAAGACTGAGACAGGAAGAAATGTGAAAGTCTTGAAAAATTCTTTTAATGGACATGTACATGTACAAGTAGGTACTGCAAAAAAATAGACTACTGATAATGGGATTCAATTTGTTGTAGATTATCAAAGTTCAAATTCCTGATGATGCAATGAAACAGGAAATGGTCAAACAGATGTCACTACAGTCTGGAATGAATCTGGAGTGGTCGTTGAAGTAAGTTTTTGAATTGAAGGAAATTGAAAATTACAGGAAGATGTACAATATTTTGATTATTCATATGCTAATTATTTTAATGATTCAGTATTTGACAGAGTGAAAATTCTTGTTTTAGGTGCCTGGAAGAAACCCAATGGGACTACCAAAAAGCTAGTTTAGTTTTCCAAAAATTGAATTCAGAAGGGATTGTGCCTCCAGAAGCTTTTGTAAAATGACAAATTGACTTTATGTACCTTCCAATGTAAATTAATATCGGTTAGTTTCTTTATAGGTTTTAATTTCTTTCAAAAATTAATATAAAATAAAAATACCAGGAATGTGTTAGTACAACAGTATGCAGTACAAATTTTATACTGCATAGTGTTGAGTTATGTATTGTATATTATTTCATGGTGAAATGCTCATGCTCATTCTTTATAATCTATATATTATGAAAAAGGGTTAATTATGCTCGCTTTCCGTATCTCGAAATGGAACATTTTTGTTCGGCAAAAGTAAATTCTGTAATATACTTCAAATTTTAGATAGGTATGCGCAAAGTACCAATGAAACTGGTCAAAAATTGTTATTGTATTTTGATGTTTTTCCAATTGAAAATATATAACAAATTTTGACCAAAGCATCTTATATTAGTCGAAGGAATTCAAGAAGTATCATTTGAAAAAATACTGTTTTTTTTTGTATACTTTACAAAACAACATTTTTGGTGAGGTGACTTTCAATATTTTGTTTCTCTATGCATCTATTAGTGTTTCTGCGAACGGGAAATCTGTCGAGTTTTNCATATTCACGAAAGCATTTTTGTACTAATAACCCTAAAAATGTAAGAAATATAAAAATATTGCACAGATTTTGTTTATATCCAGTTACATTTTTTTTTTCAAAACAGTTGACAATATTGAAAGATGTTACAATGCACTACCCTTTAACGTAAAAGTGTGATGTACGAACACTTCCATTAATTTACATTGTGACAGTTTGTTAGTTGTATTGCACTGAAGTGCATCGCCGGAGTCCCGACAAAAACTAAAGTTTTAGTGGTTTTTCACTGATGACAAATTTCTAATTTCACATCAAAACAACAGTGAAAGTGCCGCGAAAAAACGTGTGAAGATTAAAATCAGTTTTTAGGCCTGAGTTAGTGGAAAATTTGATAATTTAATATCTTAAATCGATTCAGTTGATAAGTAGGTAAATAACACCCTTCCAGTGGCGTGCTTTTTCAATTGTCTTCACTGTCAGTAAAATGGGTAAAATACTGTGTAATAAGTGTGAAAAGGATTTAGAAGGGGAATACATTGTTGTATGTGACTGCTGCAATGATGTAGTACATTCAACATGTACTGAACTTACAAGTACCGAACTTAGAGCTATTTTCCTTAAATCAGGTTGATGCATTACATATTTCTGTGATCAATGTAGGAATAATATCAAGCAAATGCCTAAACTCATAAAACAGCTAAGTGATATTATGGAGATAAATAGAATACTTCAAGAGGAAAATGAAAAATTGCGAAAAAAAGTTGATGGCATGAGTGTATCCAACTCACATTCTGACATGGAATATAATTTGCTTGGAAGTGAAGATCTAATATCAGAAATTATAGACAGACAATCACGAGCAGCCAATATTATCATTTATAATGTGAATGAACCTCAGGGAAACCTCCACACTGAAAGATCGGCACAAGAAAGAGAAACCGTAAATAATATACTGCAGGACTTCAACGTCAATAAGGAAGAAATGAAACATTTCAGATTGGGAAGACCAACAATTAACAGAAATCGACCCATCAAGATTATTTTCAAATCACAAGATGATGCCAGACATATATTGAAGAATAAACATTTAATAAAAATACCCAGTGTGAAAATATCTAATGACCAAACTCCAAAACGAAAGGAGTATTTGTTATGATCCAAAAGTAATATTATTAAGTAAAACCAGAACAACTGAGGATATTGAAGATGTGGAACTTATAATGGACAATTATACTTGCATCCGTTGTGATTAAAAAAATAGAAATACTGGTGGCGTTGTCATGTATGTAAATAAAAAATTCGAATTTTCTATTTTTAAGAAGTTCATACTGGAATCGAACTACTGGTGTAAAATTGTTAAAATTAACTCCAAATCTTCANACAATGCTTGGTTAAAGAGCAAAGTGAATGGCTCTGTTTGCCTGTTGTGCCATTTCACAATTACATCCTTAGATCACCAAAGAAGTGAAACATACTCTCATCACAGATCAGTTATACAGGACTTTTCTCATGGTTACTTTGATGAATTTTGCTATTCAAGATTTTCACAACTGAGTTCTTGTTTTTACACCTTTGATGTAAAAGTTTGCCTCATAATCGGAGATACAGTGCGACTATTTTCCGGGTTTGAAGGCCGTGGATTTTTGGATTTTTTTGGGATGTTGCTCCAAACTGCAATATCCCAAAAAGATTGCAGCCTCATAAAGCTTGAACTCTGATGAGGGTTTCACAATTCTTCCACCAGACAAGGGAAATATCACGGTGATTCTGAAAACGGAAGAATATAACAGCAAAACTGAGGAACTACTATGCCCTGCAAACTACCGCAAACTTAAACGGGACGCAACCCCAAGGTTCAGGAACGTTAACAAAATCAATAAATCTTCCTCACTTTCAAAAACCTTACAGAGAACCATTCTGAGAACTGAGGCTCTATGCTCGTCCGAGAGTACGAAGTCAGCTTCGATGTTGTGTCCTTGTTTACCAATATCCCACTGGAAGACTTTCTGATGGGGCTAGCCTACTTGTTTCCGAGTTATAAAGTCAGACACTTTGAGCACATTTCACGGGTAGTTACAATCAACGGAGGGGAAACTTCTGTGAACAACTAGATAGCTTGGCGAGAGGAAGTCCACGTATCCCAGTGATAGCCAATTACTTCATGGAACGTTTTGAAGAGAAAGCAATCGAAACTGACCTTGTGGCTACGTTACGTGGATGACACCTTTGTCATCTGGAAACATGGAAGGGACGCTCTGAATCTTTTCCTAGAGCACTTGAATGCTCAACAGATGTACTAATCGAACAAGTGGTGCAAGAATAACTCACAAAGTGTACTGAAAATCCATGCACACGGATAGGTACCTGCACCCACTATCGAACCACCATCGTAGTAAAAAAAAGGAGTCATCTTCACTTTAACTTAACGGACTCGAAGAATATGCGAACAAGAGCATCAAGAGAAAAAACTGGTACAACTTCAAGTGACCTTGAGATCGAATAGACACAATATATCCGAGATCAACAAAACCATGAAACTGAAGAGTTCTATGACTCAAAGGGGGAAGATGGCTCAGATAGTTGCACGTGCGTATGTACCATATATCCCTAGGGCCACAGACAGAATTATGAAACTCTTGTGGAAACACAACATTAAAACGGTGTTGAAACCCATCAAAAGGAGATACAACAAAGCCTCAGGTCGGCTAAAGACAAAAGAGACACACTATCAGCCGCATGGGTTCATGGGAAGGTATATACATCGGAACCATCAAAAGATCCATGAGAACCAGGCTGAATGAGCATGAAACTGCAGACTAGGCCAAATGGACAAGTCGGCTGTGGAAGAACACGCACTCAGTGGAGGAAAACCACAGGATTCTGTTGGAAAACATTGCCCCCACCCAGGGATACCATAGCCCACTGGTACGGGAACCCATAGAATCCCATTCTAAGAAGTTGAAAAATTGCAAACAGTATGACGGCAGGTAGAAAATGGTCGACGAATATTATTGACAATTCACCTAATCCAGGAACATGTATTATCATGTCCATTCTTTTAATGGACATGTACATGTACAAGTAGGTACTGCAAAAAAATAGACTACTGATAATGGGATTCAATTTGTTGTAGATTATCAAAGTTCATTGTGACTGAATACAATTGATATTCAGCCTCATTCAAAGGTAGTTGATGTTCAATGGAAAATATATTGGTGACGATATATGGATTCCCTGGAATACCAGCGTTGATGGTATGATGTAGATATTCCAAAGTGAGATATTTATAATATATTTGTAATGAATGGCCTTTTGTGAACGATCAAACTGAACTAAATAATTCGCCGTTATTGAATCAGTTCATTTCCAGGTAAGAAAAGTTAAGTATAATTACTGTCAGCGGATTGATTGAAGAAGCAATGTGGAGAAGAACTTTGGTAAGGATGAGAGACGGAACAAAAGAAAATTGAAGTGAAGTTCAAAGGTCCAAATGAACTCTGCTGGAAAATTAAAAAAGTCGAAGATATTTCTTGTTCAACATTGGATTAGAGATACCGGGCGATGGTAATAATTTTTGAGACGAACATTAAATAATACAGCTGACTATACATAAACTATAATGCATGTAGCCTATACAAAACTCTTCTTACCCTGTCTGCGTATCTTAAAGTATTCAAAGAGTGATCAACAGAAAAGTTTCCTGGTGATATCAGCGCAATCATACATGTTTTCGATTTTTCTCCTATGAAAGAATCCCTCAGGACTTGCGTTAGCTTGCTCCCTCTGAATGGAAGATGAGCTCCTTTTCTACCTAAGGCTCGTATACATTCTTTGAGTGCTAGTAGACTTTTATTGATATCGGCACCTGTGAAAAACGTGTTTCAGTGTTTCATAACTAGAAAAGTTAGGTTAAGTAACCTTCTATCCTAGTCTGTCGATTTGATTTGCTGTTATCTGCTCCTCTTTCATTTCCAGCTAAATCGATGAGAGAGAATTTTCCGTCAGCTTGTTTGAATCCGCTTCTTCTTAGAATGATTTGGAAAACTGCGTGAGATCGCGATGAATTAGAGTTGGCTGAAGTTTGCCCAGAAGTTCTTTCCACACTCCCTTTTTGAATGAGGTCTAACACGTGCTCAACCTGAAAAAGCTCACGATATAAAATCATCGTAACCAGTTAACACTCATCCAGTAATGCTGCAATAAAGATCGGTACTTTAACTTCAAAAACTATGTATAATTAGGGACAGATATTCTCTACTATTGTTGATAATAAAAATATTCTATATTTTAGTATTAGTTCATTGTAAAATGAAGAGTCAGCGGCGGCTCGTCAGAGAAGGCAAGGGAGGCTTAGCCTCCCCATAATATTTGAGGCTATTCATCGCAATAAATTAAAAGATATTGACAGATAATTATAATAATTTTTTCTAAAAATGCTTGTGTATCATTACTTTACCATTATTTTTAATATAAATACATAATATGCCCGAAAAAACACTATCACTCACTACGTAGTACGTACCACACTGTATCCTGCATCAACAAACCTCAAACGCACCGCCCACGAACGAATAACGAAGAAACCATCAACCCGAAATAATAAATGCCATACGTTGATACGTTGCAAGGGAGCGAAGCCTCCGACCTCTTTAAAAAACACAAGCTCCGCAAGACTGATCTAGCCAGCGACATAAGTCCCGATTTGTAATTTTAGTTGCAGAAATTATAGCGTTAGAGGAGGCTAGCCTCCAGTTGGTCTTCGTTACTGTACAACTGCGTTTTTTTTGTTTAATTATTCGGACGGGATGCCGTGACGGACCGGGACTGAAAAATATTTCAGTAAATCGTTTTAGTGTTTCTTGATATTATTTGTTATTTGTGTATAAAACAGGCAGTATTGAATTATATCAGTGCTTTTTAGAAATAATAAATGCCATACGTTGATATGTTGCAAGGGAGCGAAGCCTCCGACCGCTTTAAAAAACACAAGCTCCGCGAGACTGATCTAGCCAG